ACGAGGAAAGGTTATTTGAGCTAAATCTGTTCAGCCTCAAGCAAAGGAGACTGAGGGGGGACATGATCCAGGTCTATAAGATTCTAACAGGTTTGGATGCTGTTCAACCGAATAGTTACTTCAGCATTAGTTCAAATACAAGAACTCGTGGCCATAGGTGGAAATTAGCGGGAGAACATTTCAAACTGGATTTAAGGAAGCACTTCTTTACACAGTGTGTAGTCAGAGTATGGAATAGTCTTCCTGATAACGTAGTGCAAGCTGAATCCTTGGGTTCCTTTAAATCAGAGCTAGATAAGATTTTAAAAACTCTGAGCTATTAGTTAAGTTCTCCCCAAGCAAGCTCAATGGGCCGAATGGCTTCCTCTCGTTTCTATAGTTCTTATGTTCTTATGTTCTTAAACCTAACAGTCTGTTGTGCTGAATTGGATAAAGTGATTCTTATTCTAATATGTGATTTATTTACTTACTCTTCAGATCCAGAAAGGGGGATTTAGGTGTCAGGTTGTGGTTGAGTGCTCCTAGTTCGTCTCTCGTCCATCATATGAGAGCATTTTGATGTCATGTCAGATTCAGACTTAACGTTTTGTGGTGGGTTGAAGAGTCACCTGTTGGCTCTCGATTCCCACAATCCCCTGCTGCTGAAGGAATGCCGCGGGGTCTCGGCTTATTGATTTACCATAAATGAATACACAACAACCACATTGGTGCACTGACTCAAATTACTTGTTTGCACACACGTGGAAAAGGGTGACTCTGACTTTGTCTGACTGGAATGCTGGACACGCACATACAGAACATCTTAAGCTGTCACCATGTAATGTGGTGCATATGCTCGTTTTTCCTTCATTATAACTTATGTGTATTCTTTTGTAATTACAAACATTTCTTTTTCATGCATCCCCTCCTAATCTCCTTTCTGCTAATCAGGTTTTATCTACGATTCACTGGCACATGCATAGATATGGTCAAAAATTAATACCTTGATTGAAGAGTGTGAAAATACATATGAGTCTCTGCCAAGTCATCTTCCATTTGCAAAGAGAGGGGAATGGATTCCCAGTGAATAGAACAGCAATGTAGACATATAAACAAGCAGAAGCCTATTACATATATAAACCCAAATCCAGTTAGCGCTTTTGATCATTCTAAGGACGTGCAAAAGTAGAAGTTTAGGTGACATCCTGGTAAGGGGCAACATTTCGACAGCTTGAGTTTCTCCAGATCAAAATAATTCAATAATAATAGGAACGTATGACCTTTTAATGGTAAAATAGTTCAACATATGACTGATTATACTTAAGCCCTATACTTGCTAGTCATTTTAAACTGACTATTTTCCACACCTATGAAAACTGATGCATTTCTCACAAACGCTTAAGACAACTCGGAAGTAATTCAGATCGTTTTCTTTAATTTTTATGTCTTCCTAAATATTCTCTCGCACTGCGCCGGAGCGAGACTGTCAAGGCGCAAAAAGTAATACAATCTTTGGTGACCCAAATACAAACGCACTGCTTGACGCAAGAGCCGGGATATTATTTCATGCGTTTCCATCTCCAAATAAAGGGTACATCATGCTTAAGCGAGGGGCTCATTACGTATGTGTCTTGGCTCCATCTCTGTGCTGTGCCACCGATAACCAGTAACTTCATCCCAGGTTAACTAGAACTGCGCGATGGGAAGAATAATTTCAACAAATCAATGTAAGGATTTGTGGCATAATAACGTTAATGGCAGTGTGCAAAAGAATGAAAAGGGTTAAACAAACACACGAAATGTTAATAAAAGAACCGCAAACAAATGTGCAAACAGTGCCCAGTCCAATATATATATATATATATATATATATATATATATATATATATATATATATATATATATATATATATATATATATATATATATATATATACACACACACACACACATTCACACGTATTGCAGTATCTATGCAGTATTTCACTCTTTTGCTCTCTAGCCCCCTTCTTTGTCGTCACAACAAGGTTGAACTCTGACAAGGTCGTGCCTCTTTCCTTTATTCTGGTAAGGTCGCTCCGGTGTATTGCAAAATTATCTTTTTATAGCAATCCAAATTGCGCTCCAATATAAACGAGCTCAGTGGTCTATATATAGACACATCCAGCCTGAAGTCATGCGTCAATCTAATATCAGTTTCTATTCATAACCCGATTTAATAAAAAAGTACAAGTCAGCCCTTTGTTTGCACGTACAATCCAAGGAGCCACTCGGTGTTGAGAAACAACCATAAGCAGGGAGGATTTTTGCGACCTTAAATCACAAGCTGACATTGCAATAATGAAACTCTCCACCCCTATGGAAGTGCTGTAAGGTACCACACCTCCGACGCGGCGCTGGGAGCGCGAGCGACGCCGTGACGCGTAACTTCACTCTTATACTCCTGCCGCAGCCGAATGGTCGCACAAAACGGGCAGCCCGTCACTTTCTCAATACAGCCGGCAGTCAAAGTTCACTTTTTATTTTAACTCGTGTCCAGCTTGTGTGGATTTACTGCTTTTCCTGAATCAGATTTCTTCACGAGGTTTGATACTTACATCCTAAACCTGGGGAAACTTGATAAAAACGTTTTTCCAAGGAGCGTGAAATTCCTCGCTGGAGTAATTGGTAAGTGGCTTTTGGTCTGCTCTGCACAATGAAACAGTGATCGTGATCAAAACATTATTTAAATAACGAGTCACTCTTTAGAAGATTATCAAAAGTCAGGTGTTACAAATAAAATCTTAAAATTTACTTTGGATGGAACTTCTTAAAGTTTGCCTAACAAGTTATCCTGCGTGCGAAAACCGAACAGAAAAATCAGTGTAGCCTATTTAATGGACCTACATAGTGAAGTTCTGTGTCCTCCACCAGTTAGCAAAACATCTGTCACCATTCACGTAACTCCCTAGCGAGTCAAGGCTTAGTGTAACTATTTTAAAAGGATGTTAGTTAAACTGAGAGCATACTCTTAAATAGCCATGCATGCTTTTTAACTGAACATACTGTGCCATCATTTTTTCCTTTAGTTGTCCTTTTGGTTGCGATAATTATCAACAAATGACGTCATAAGTACTTTGCAAACGTTTATAGACTATATGGGTGGAACTTCACATTGAGCTATGTCGGAAAGGTATCCTGATGGATAATCTGTGTGTATCACGATTTAAATTTCCCTGCCATGAGAGCCAGAGAGAGCAAGGCTTACTGGTTGGAAAACAGACTTTCCAGCGGCACTGTGAACGGTGTTTGCTGGGGGACGCGTGGCTCGGGGGATGTCACGTGACCCTGCCGTTATGGCACATTGGGGCCAGTCTTTGAGTCATTTGTGCCTTGGTCAAAATGATCGGGTTAATGGATGACACGGTTTCAGCGGCTTCTTTTACGGCCTTGGGAGTGTAGCTGGAAAATGCCCGGGTGACCGAGTTATAACCTACTTTACTCGGAGCGTTCTAATAAATGGGCACAGTGTCGCGTTTATTGTTAATGATGCCTTGCGTAATCGTGTCCTGTCTGCCGAGGAGATCAGATGATTCATACGATAAGCTGTTGGCTATTAAAAGGTTCGCGTTCTTTTCTTCACTTGAACGTCTGGCGTTGCTTTTGCTTGTCTAGGCTCTGCAGTGTCATTGTGATTGTTTGATAATAACTACATCGGATCCGGAACACAGGCCTGCACTACTCTGCCAGAATATATGTAAACGTCCTCAACGATTATTCTATATAGGCATACGTACAGCTGTGTTTTACGTATAACGTCGTTTCGAGGTTTTCTCGTACAAAGGGCTTTAATGCGAGTTTAGGAGTAGTCTAAGGCGCAATGACATATATGCTTAGCCTATGTATGCATTTTATGTTGTGTTCAGTGATTACTGAATTAGGTATCACAATTTTTTAAATATTGACTGTAGTTGTAAAATTACATTTTTTTTTTCATTCTTAAACTTAAATTATAAATCTACGCATCCTTCGTCGAATGCCGTTGCATTGTGAAAATATGCACGGTAAGGAACATTAGGGTAATCGACTACGTGATTGCGGGAGATATCTTACTGTCGCACATTAATAACAAAAGAGACTAACGAACATTTTGGTCCTGCAAAATGCATGCCCGTGCCTTGCATATTACTGCCACTTGTTGGCGACAGAGACTGTTTTGCGCAATTGTTGATTCTCTGTCCTGTTAGTAGATAATCCGTCCAAGTACACTTTGTATTGAAGTTTCTTTGTTTCTTATTTTAGAAACCGATGTGCCTGTATATTGCGGGAAAAGGTGCAATTTACTGGTGCTTTGTTTTCTTGGCGACCTATCAGTCTTAGGAAATAATTGTTCTGGAAGACATAAAACTTAAAGTGCATATGAATAAAGTGACACATGGCTTTAAGAGCTGCAACTTCTCAGCTTCGGGACTCTTACGTCGCCAAGCAAGTCTGTTTGTGTGTTTTGCCGTAGTTTTACTGCATCCGCGCTTTCAACTTACACGCAATTGACAAGATAAGAATCTCCCATCCTTTGTGTTTTCGATGCTTTTGAATAAAGCCTTTGTACTATTTGAGGTAGTGGAACACGACTAGACGACATACACTGACAGACGAAACACAAAACAGAACTCCTTTCGAGCGTTGTATAAATAACCCGTGTTTTAATCGAGCAGCAGTAACGTGATTCACGGCCAGCGGTGCCATTTAAAATGTTAGCAATCCAAGAATAAAAAACCAGTGGCTGTTTGCGTCAGCATGCGGAAAGAGGAATGCTGGACACCTTGTTCTGTTCAGTAATGCCTAAAGATCGGTTTAAGAAGTAGATCTTCTACCTAACAAACTACGGCTACCACGTACACCATTACATTTATCAGTCCAACGCTTCTTCACCACAGAGCTGTCCTGTCTTCCCGGAGCTGTCACTGTTCATTAAAAGGCAAATATAGAAGCTTCAGGCGTCCCCCACCAATTTCGTTTTCAGTTAAGCCCTATAATTATAACTACTAATCTACATTTAATGTTTCATATACAAATTTTGTTGCACTCGGGCGTCGTATTTGTGCTTGCATTAACGTAATTTCACATTGGAAAACGGAAAGATTAATTTTTTGTAGATGATCTATGCGATACTAATTATGAATGACCTGGAATTGTAGGAATGGGCAGGAAGTATCGTATTCTTTGGCGTGGTGAGCCTGTCCTTCTTTTGTGTGATTGGTTCTCTTTGACAAAGATAGTGTGGGAGAAAGAAAGTGGGCAGAGCTTTTTCTCCACGTGGGTGTACTGGATGAGCTGTCGATTGGTCAGTGGTTACGATCGTTGCTCAATTGTGAGTAGTGATAGGCTGGAATGGGAAAGGAGGGCGGGCACCTTATGCCACTCTGAGTGATACTTTGTAACATTCTTTATTGTTGGTTTTTGCATTGGAGGTGCTTTGAGCATGGGTACGCGACTGGAGAGTTATTCAGCTCTAAATCTATGAGGCTTTGGCAGTCTAGTACTGATCTCTCGCTACTACGAAAGCTGACATCTCCGGGCATTGGAAATAATTATAAAATATATATACGATTGCTACGGATTTTTGCTTTTGTGGAATTGGCTTGTTGCAAGACGAACAATTTTTTGAAGGAAATCTGTTTGTAAAAGCCTTCATGTTTAACTCTGGCATCGAGCCGTCTCTGTAGCATTTTTAAATCTGGAAGTGGATCATATACATCGCTTTGCAGAGCTTGAAAGCGAAGATTTTTGTTTTTGCTTCAACGAATGATACGTGCTAAACCAATGCGTACTCGTATTCCGGGAATACTTTGTAACTGACAAGAGGAAGAAAGAGACGTCGTTATTATTGGCTTCACAGAAAACGCAGATACACAGTACGGTCCGTAAAGTCGGGACATAGCAAGTGAAAGTGACTGAGATATTTTAAACACTTCGTCCTTTTTCCGGTCCATTAGAGCGGTTAATATTTCAGTCATTTGGCTTCGAACCTGGTACTCTAGCATTGTCCTTCCCCCATTCAACACAGGCTATCGAATGGACCAACATCCCACCGCCCGGAGCTGCACTAGTCGCGGAGCTCCGTCCTGCGAGGCCGTCCCAAGCGAGCCCTCCATGAATTTGTACATCCACTCCACCACCGGCACACGCTTTGAGCTCTCCCTTCCACTCGAAGAGACGGTGGAAGGACTGAAGAGGAGGCTTTCTCAAAGACTCAAAGTACCAAAAGAGAGACTTACTCTGCTGCACAAGGAAACGTGAGTGATCATCCACGGTATTGCTCCGACATGCACTTCTCGTAAAACAGTGTGCAGATCACACCGGGTTCCTGTATCGTTTGCACTAATCGTTTGTTGCTATATTGGTCATCTGTACATCAAAGGTCAGTGGATCTAGCGCAGTCACCCCATGCTTTGGTCACCCGGACATTGGCTGTGCATAGTTTCGTTTTAAGTAGCCCAGCGTACACAAAGATTTTAGGGAAGGGAAGCGTTGAACATAGAAGCATTGAAGTGAACTGATATGGATTTTGCCTCTAGTGTTCTCTGGACGTTGAACCCCCCCCCCCTCCCCCCAAAAGGGTTTAGTGGAAAATCTCCAATAAACCGGATGATCATATCGATGCGTCTGTATTAGTTAGATCACGTATAGCTCGGAGTAAATATTTTGATAAGGACTCATGATGGTTGTCGGGTGGTGTGTAGACAGTGTTGGGTATTTTAGAGCAGAGTACACGGGTGTGCACTTTCATTCCAGATTACTGGAGAGAGGCTCGGCGGCTCGGTGGCAGGGTGGTAGGGGGGTTAAGCGAGGGTGAGGCAGCGACGCCGGTAGTGTCTGCTAACCTCGGGACTGCTTCAGCCTCCCTTTTCAGCCGCCCGACCGATTTCACGCAGTTTTGAAAATCTTTAATTAGACGAGTGCAAAATCTATATCTGTATCTGTGGATTTTGCATACCCTGCATTTGCTTACGATTGGCTGTACTCTTCCTTTCAGTTCTCGCGTAGATCGCTCATCAAAAATTACTAGTACGCTTCTTTCCTTGCTCATTGTATCACATTAGCTAATGCAATTAACCCCATGTCGCTTAATTTACAAGCTGCTTTTCTCACCGTCTTTGGGTACCTACAGTACTTTTGAAATATTAATAAAATGTTGCTCTTATCAAGAAGCAAATTCTGTTTTTTTTTTCGCGGAGATACTAGGACGATTTGTAAGTGGTTTCAGTGATGTTTACCATCCGTTAAAACTATTTTGATCCTGATACATTTTGTCCAGTAAAGTCGTGCAGTGAGAAGGTTGTGTTAAGTGAAAGGGAATCCTTTGTCGTTTGCAAATGACGAACTGTCGCATTATTTTCCCCCCCTTTTCATAGCTGAACAATTTAATGTCCCCTCAAGTAATCGCCTGAAAATCGCATCATCCTTTAAAACAGACAACCGATTTTAATCTTCTTTCCCCCAAATAGCTGCCCTTAAGCAAAGTGTTGGGTCCCTTTGTTCAGCCGGAGGTGACATTTAATACAGACGTCCACGGTACAGCACGAAAAGGTCTTCTGCATTGATTTGCGTGTCTTTTAAAATTAAATGTATTCTGACGTTAACGCATAATGGCATTTCAAAGATGCATAACAAGCACAACCTTTAAAAATCTGCATTTCACACTTCTATTAAAATATTAGTTACAATTGTATTTCTGCAGAATAAACATTTTAGGCAGTTGTTACAAAGTACCGAAATGTTATTTCTACATCCAGCTGCTAATTTTAAAATTCAGTTCAAATACATATTTTACCGTAAATATCCTCACTTTCCCATGCAATGCAGGATAATCTAACATAAAATCAAACTAAGTAATCTGGTTGTATATTTTGACTTGTTTTAAAGCTCGTTTGATCAAAACGGAATAGCCATCTCATTTACACAAAGTGACGCGCCAGGAATAAATATTCTTAGTGCGTAAAAAGAAAGCGGCTCAGATCACATCATTAGCATGCAGGAGTGAGTTTCGTTGATACCAAGTGCACAGCACAGTAACTCCAGCTCTTTAGATCTTAGTAGGCTGCCATAAAGTAATATTGTCCAGTGCTTGATTTTTGCTTTATCAGTTGATGTCCTGGTCTTCAAGAGATATCCGCAGTTTATGTGAGGGTGTGTTAACGATCCTAGCCAACAAAAAAACACGGCGGTTTAGCCCGACTGCTACTATACTGACGTCCGAACTGAAGCGCTTGACCAAGTATGGCATCTATTCTTTCTCGACTTAAAAAAGTGTTTACCGAACGACCGTTTCCTTACTGAATTACTCTTCTAACACATTACTGTTTTCATGTTCAGGCAAAACATGACTTCAAAGAATTTTAAACCCCTGTCACATGAAAGTCTGTGAATTTCCCCCGCCTCAAACATTATTTCCTCTCCGTTAGTAAATGTTTCTTAGGTATTTTGCCGTCGTTTATATTCAATATGCACAGGTGCTGCTGAATATTTTGAGATTAATTTTTTTCCCTCCGGTTTCCATCAGGAGGCTCAGTACAGGAAAACTGCAGGACTTGGGCATCTCTGATGGGAGTAGGCTTACCCTCGTACCAACTGTTGAAGCAGGCTTAATGGTAAGACGCCTTTGTGGAGAAGCAATGTTTCACTGTGCTATGATGAAATGTGCTTGCTGTGACAGTCTTTTAACTCTTTGCACGAGGTCTGTCCAGTAACTGGTTTGTTTTTGTGCCTTCTCCCCCCCACCCGCCCCCGTAGTCCCAAGTATCAAGACCGGAGCAGTCTGTAATGCAAGCCTTGGAGAGTTTAACGGAAACTCAGGTAAATGGGGTCTGTCTTTATTAGGCATCATTCTTCACGATACGATCATCTCTGTGGTTGAATTTGTTTTTTTAAAAAGGATTTCACAGCATGCTCGTTTGGTATTTCAACACTGTACTGGCAACACGTATACACCTGTACAAAGCATCTGGTGAATAAGGTGGGGTGGGGGGGGGAGCAGTTTGTGCTGCTTTCATGTCTTATCTTGGTTGGGTTTAAGCATACGAGAAGGTCTGGTTTGTCAGGACGGCGCGTCATGTGGCTTTTGCGACAGTATCGCTGCAACTGTCTCCATGCGTTAACGGTTAAACCCAGTCTTGCCTGTTATTCATCCTGACCGACTTCTACAAAGCCAAACCTACCTCTACGTGCGTGTACATTTCGGGGATAACGAAGGTCCCCATTTCAAAACGCCATGGAGACTGAAGACTGCCTTGCACGCTTGTCTTGAATGTTAATTTTTGAACGCATGTGCTCTGAGTATGAGAGGGAGGTTGTCACTTGAATGCATCGCCTATACGCATTTTTTTTTGTGCAGGCGTTAATATGCACACCATACCCTCAGCAGCTCGTGACATTTGCTGAGGAGGTCACATGACTTGTCGTTTTGATCAATTACGAGGTTGTTAAACAAATTGACACTGGCCCGATAATGGTGCTTTTAACTATGACAGTTTCTTTGCGTTTGTATACATTTCAAAGAAAAAGAGCCAAAGTCCTGTTCGAGGAGGTTGTAATTCTGATTGCAAACCGAAATCAATATTCATGTTGTTGGCTCTGTTTCCTTGAAGTATTACTTCAAAGATATATTTTAAGCATGAATGATTTAAAAATACAATGTCAGAGTCTGGGATGGCCTTGTGATATTTTTAACCTGGATGTCCTGCCTTTATTGTGTAAGCAGTAGAATCAGTGACGATAAATGACTGTGTTTGGCAATGCAGGGGGGAGGGGAAGAAACGCCTCCCTTCATTATGTGGACTGCCTGGCCGCACATCTCCTCTTAAGTGCGGTTTCTGAGAGAAGCAGTGCAGAATAACCAGCTTGGAGACTATTGTTCTATAGGCTAGTCTTTCTAAATCCATTCCCCAAGGTCCCCTAGACAGTGCACGTTTTTGCTGCTTCCCAGCCCCTGGTAGCAGAAATATGGACTGTCTGGCAGAGAGCTGGGAGGGAGCAAAAATGTGGACCGTGTGGGGGCTCCACGAGGACTGGGCTGAAAAGCACTGCTATAGGCTTTCCTTTAGGCAGCTGGCTCCCATAGGCAGCGACAGAAGGAAGTGACAGTCATGAGTAAATCAGAAGGTATGACTTCTTTCGTTTGGGTGCACATTTTCTCAAGAATGTACGGTATTGTCTGATGTTGTAATTGAGCTTCCTGGTGAGTCATTCAGAGGCTTGACAAGAATTAAAAAAAAAAAAAAACGTATCAAGAAAAAAGCAAAAGCTTAAATGCCAAAATATTACCGGGCTTGTGAAATGAAAATGATGGGTTATTTTTGGGTTAATTGAAATGTTAATTTAAAGGGGAAGGAAAATTAGACTTGTGAATGGTTTGTAAGTCATGCGGATTCTATAGTGTAAAAAATGTATGGAAATGTATACGAAATGAGTAATCCAGGAAAATATCGATACAGGAGTTTTTAGCTCATGTAATCACACACCCAGGAAATATTGGGAATCAATCAGAGCTGGAGGCTCTTAAGAGGGGTCTTCTAACCGAACAGATGCCCTGAGTTTCTAAAAGTGGCAAGGATAGTATGATGGTGTGATAGAGTATGAGAGTGTGGCTATTCAAGCAAGGCCCCCCACCCAGAAATCTGTTTTAATGGCTCCTCTCTCCAGGGTGGGACTGAGATCAGGTTCTGTGTATGGATGGATCTTTGCAGGATCTACCTGGATAACCCCATGTTATCAGCATGGTGGGGTAGCTGGAAGCACAGAGGCAGGTTCCTGGAGGGGGATGGATCCATTTCAGGCATCTCTGTTGTAAGATGGAAAGTGTTGTTAGGAAAGGGGAGCCTTGTAATTATTGCCCCCCCCCCTTTTCCTGTGTTTCCGCTTTTTTGTCTACTCTGTAATTTGTGTTGCGTGGCTGCAAGTCTGGCATTGCTTCCTAGATCTCCTGCCTTGGCATTAGATGGCATGAAAAAACAGAGTGGGGAGGGGTGTGGGGATTGTTTACCAGCACAGCACCTGGGCACCAAGGAAAATGCACGTCTGCAGCCTTGGGCATGGGGGGGGGGGGTTTCTGTCGTGATAATCCAACGTTTGTTCTTCAGCTGCTTAGCAAACACCTTCTTACCAAAGCGAGTTCAGCTGAAACACTGTAATCCTAATTATACAGATGGATGTTTACTCAGACTGGGACCCTCTGGGAACTCGAACCCGAAACCTTTTTTTGTGACAAGTACTTTCACCCCTCCTGTCATTTAGAGGGGACTGCTTTGGGTGGTCATTGACCTCCAATAGCTCTCACAGACAATGTCGGAGAAACGGTGATATTGCTGTCATTAGTTTCGGCAAAAATAAGCCCCCTTTAATGAATAAGCCATTTTTCAAGCATAATACTACATTAAGGTGCTAGTTTGGTCAAGTCTCTTTTGTGCCATATGACCAAGAGAACCCCTTAAACTCCTAACCCTTTTCCGGACGGGTGTTTGCAAGAAACACTGGCTGTATACCATCGACTCACAGCTGCTGTGAATGACACTTTGTCCAGTTCGAGTAAGATTACGAAAAGGAATCCAATTGGATGAGGTCACTCTCACTCATGACAAATGTGGCTGGCTGTTGCGGGGGGGAGGCTGGGCAGCGTCTACAGCATTCATCACTTGCTTTCAAGATTGTGAAAGTGAAATTGTTCATTCTTTGTCTTTTTATAGCACCATTTGCTTGCCCATTGGGTAAATGAAATGCCGTTCATATGCCACCCAGTCGAATCCAGCCATTCTTGTGCACCCTCCCCTTATTCCTCGTCTGCTGCTGATCCGTAAAACCAACCCACCACTGTTAGACCAGCACATAAACAAAGGAACGGCAAGCCAAAGGGGGACTATGATCCCATACTGTGGCTATGACAGATTCTTTTGCTTATACGTTATTTCAGCCTAAACGTCTTGACTGACCCACGGAATAAACTGTAGTATTGAATTCTACAGAGGAAAAACTTCCTATGTTGTGTATCTTGTCACCTTTGCACCATTGAACAAATCTCTCCCGACGTGGGACTTGTCGTGAGGGAAATGGCCCTCATGGTTTCTGCCCTAAATCATCCCTGATCGAGAGTAGAGGTATAAATTTGAAGAGGGAGCTGCCAACTGGGTAAACTGTGAATTCCACACGCAACTTCCACAAATAACTAAGACATCCAGTTGGTTGGCTGTGTGTATGTGTGGTTCGGCTGGTCTTGATGCTCTCCGTGATCAGAAGGTTGCTGGTTCGATTCTCGAGTAGCAGAGTATGTGTTCCGTTGGGCCCGGGAGCAAGGCCCTTAACACCACACGTTCCAGGGACCCTGCTTTCACAAAACACGTATGTCACTTTGGATAAAAGCGTCTGCTAAAATAAATTTAAAAAATGATTTTTTTAACATCATTGAAGTGTCCAAGCCTGTACCAGTTCCTTCCTAAATGACACTGGGAGATTTACTCTAGAGGCTTTGGAGTTAGATATTGGAGGAGGAGTTTGTCAATAGTTAAAAATTGACCAAGGTCAATTTTAAAGGGGGAAATTCAGAATACGTTACGCCAGACTAATGTATAAATTTCTTATTTTTTTCGTCTGGTCCTATTCCAGGCTAACTGCTAAGACCTCTGTGTGCGTAGCGCTTGGTCTTGGCCTGGCTGCCTGTTTATTTGATGGGCCGTGCGCTACATGCTTCCACACCATGTGAGCTGTGGGCCGTTCATCTTTTATCTTTGGATGAGCGGCTCGGCCGGCCCGGTGAGTCAGGGATTCCTGTAAGTGCCCCGGGTTGCGGGCGCCTCCCTGGCTGAAGGGAGGGCCAGCGCAGAGTACAGACGTCCTGTGACTCCTCGCTCTTCCCAGGTCACCCTAATCCCCGACAGGGGTCTGCCTGCACCAGCAAGATCTCTCATTAAAGCCCCTTGAGTGCTTTAATCACTTTATTGAAACAGTCATTTGGCAAAATATGTTTGCAGGATTTGAAAATGTCATGTGTCAATGTTTCAGTCAATAGGCGTCATTTTGCTCCCCCCCCCCCTGTCCTCCACTAGACCATTTGTCTGTTTTTCCCTCATCAGTTTTGTTAATCTGCTGCTCTAACACAATTGGAAATCTTTGGTTCTTAATAAGATTGAGCAATTGGCAAGTGGGAGAAATCGAAAGCCATCTCTGAAGGCAATAGATCAATACCCAAGTAAAACTGCAATAGCTTCAGGCTCTTTCTGCGACAGTTATGTCATCGCATGCATGCATGTGTGTGTGCGTGCATGTGTGGCCGTACACATGACGCAAATCTTCAAGCACTGACGCGTCCGAGAAACCGATGTGCTTTTTCACTTTGATCTTGTGGCTCTTCTTCGACTGCTTTGTGGATTTCCGGGTGTTAGATCCCCAAGGTGGCCAGAAAAGCAGCTTCCCTCCCCTGGAAGGTTGGTTTGACGCTGGTAGGTCAAACGCTGAGTTTATATGAATATGCTTTTCAAAAGTCAGGGCCTGCTGTTTGTAATAGCACTTAAGCAGGCCTTCTGAGAGGCCTGCGTTCATTTTGAACGGCTAAACTGTGTATCGTGACCACCTTTCATTCGCTGGCTCCCTTTGTCATTCAAGTGCCGGGCATCGTGATTGGAGGTAATCCAGGAAGAGGTGGGACCACATGCAGAAACCCCCAATTAAGGCAATTAGAGCAGCGAAACTAAGTGGGTGTGTTACCCTCACAAATGCTGTGAGAGAGCACGCTTAGGGGCTATCGCCGCCCCCCCCCCCCCCATGCATTTAAATCAGGTCTGGGGTCAAAGCATTTGTTATGTTTATTTCTAATGATTGTCCTCCATTGTTTTTCATTCCTGCAATGGATGTACTTAAGCAATGAATAAACACTCGCATAAGTCTTTTCTCGTGACGCCTTTGAAGGATTAGAAACAAATGCAAATGCTGGCTTCATTTATTTTGGTGCTTTTCTTTTTTCCTTGAGTAACTGGCATCAGGTTAAGCCGCGTCTCATCACACCATCGTCACGAAGACGTGGTCAGAGTTTAATTAATCCTTGCCAAAAAAAGGCTCCATTTTGCATGATTTGGTGTTTGTGTGTGTGTGCATATGTGCGTGTATGTGCATGCATGCATGCATGTGTGTGTTTTTGATTATCACACGGATACCTGGAGTGATCGAGAGGACACGGCGAATGGCAGATGCCTTAAAGTGGTCTTTCATTAAATAATTTTACTGCTGACCCACATTGCACATATAAAACCCGCAAAGTACAGTTTCTCCCTGTTCCTGCCCCGTTTTACACATGGCGCCCATATATTTCTCATCACAAGACAACTTTATTCTCCCCAAGTGGAATACCAACTCTGATTTTCATTTTGAAGATTAATTTTTTTTTTTTTGTAATTAGACAGGCCAGCGAAAATGCAGGTTCAGTGCAGTCAACATCTGAATCCTGTGTTCCGCGATTTTTCTCCCACTAGAAGACAGTGGGTTCGAGGCTATGCTTACGGATAGCAGGGAGCGCTGCTTTGTTGGGCCTCCGAGGCGTTAATTAATCGAGGCTGTCCTGTTTGACTCTTATCCGAGCACCTTCTCCAGAACGTGTCATCGTTTAATGACCTGCCTGCTTCACACACCTGCGTAGTCGTGCGTAGTTGCACGACGGCAGCATGTCGGCTTGTCCTCCGTGGACTCCTTTGATTTCTGAGCTTGGGGGGGTGGGCAGGTGGGGTAGGTCCCCGCCAGAGGTTTATAGGTGCTTCCAGACTGCAGGTGAGGGGGTCTGTTTTTGTAGGCATGCTGGGAGATGCCTGTTTCCCCCACCCAGCCTGGGCCGAAGGCGATCTTTCACCAAACAGGGCATGTTGAGACCGTCGCAGGGGACTTTCCCGTCGACTCAGAGTGACGCGTTTTCAGGTGTTCTGAGGATCCCCGGGATTCTTTAAGTGTTGCTGCCACGAGTGATTAATCCGCTTCCCGAGGGCCTTCCTCAGCAATTGTCTGGTGCCTCTGTGTATTGAAGCAATAAAATATTGAAAATTATTATGATTTATCAATTCGGGGCTTTTTTGGTCGGGGTTGTGTAACATTTGTAAGCCTTTTAAGTCAGGGGTGGCCAATCTTTTCCACAAAGGGCCGGTGTGTGTGCGGGTTTTCGCTGCAACTCCCTAATTAGATTACTAATTAGAGGACTGATTGGCTGAAGAGTCCTCACACCTGGGTTTGAACAGCTGACCTACAGGTTATCCCAAAATCCCGCATACACACCGGCCCTTTGCGGATAAGATTGGGCACCCCTGTTTTAAGTGTTCTGTAGAGAGAAGAAATCCGCACTGATAAATATCTGCTTATTGTTCCTTAATGAAATACAGTCTGTTTAGATTAATTAAAAAGCAGATGGTCTTTTTTTGGGTAGCTCAGATATGTCTCCTCTCTGAGCGACACCCCTGTTAGGCTCTCGTTTTGGGGACTCTCTGCATGATGAGGAGAGCTCCTCTGCCGTGTGCTCTCCCCGCCTGGGATTGGGGGGTGTCGTGTGCAGATTAGCATATAGCACATAGCCTCTTGGTAATCTCTGCTAGTCATAGGGTGGAGGCAGAGTGTCTGTCATTCATTGCGACTGCTACCTTCAGCGAGTCGAGCTCAGGCGGGGCAAACGGACGAAGGTAGGAGAATACCTACCGGTGACTTGCTGTAGGTTTTAGCAGAAGCTCAACGAAGTCTTTGCTTTTAAGGAAAGGCTGTTTGTCCTCGTGCTCTCGGTCCCTCTGACTAAGGGAACGTTATCCTGTGATGTGTGGGGGGGGGGGGGCGGTGAGAGGATTTGAAGGGGAGCGCGAAGCTCTATGTCCCAGCTTGTTGTATCCCTGAGAGTCAGAGCCCCCCCCCTCCCCTCACCCTGCGTGTGGCCCCTGCAGTGGCTTCTGTGCGAGGAGTTCCTCTGAGATTACAGGGTAGTGATGTGTTGGAGGCCCTTGCTAGCTTAATTAGATCTTTTAGTTTAGATCAAGAACACTTATTTTTCATGGCGTCATGGTCTTCCTTTGGGGGGGGGGGGGGGGGCGCGTTAGGTGTTCCGAGCCCCCCTTCTGCCGGCCTGCTGTTGTCCCCAGTGTCAATAAGGTACTTCATGCACAAGCGGCCAAAGGTCACCCCGACTGCAGAAAGCTGTCGGTCGATCGAAGAATAAATAAGCAAAGGACTGGGGGAGAAATGATGGAGGGCAGAACCTCTGCGATTCTGGGGGTCAACGACAGGTCAGCGTGCGCCAGCGCAGCACAATGCATTATGGGTCTGCTGGGAGTGCCCTTGGCGCTCCGAGCGCATTCCTGCTGGAAGAATCCGCCTTTCCAGAAAGCCGGCTTGGCTCGGCTTCATGCGGGCGTTTCTCTAACGCGTGTGTCTGAAATGTGTGCTTTTGGGTCACATGACCGTCATCGAAAATAGCGCCGTTTAGCCTCCCGCTGTCCTAAAATCCCTGTCAGTCCCCCGTGATCCGCGGCGTCCAGCTCTCGCCATACTTCCAGCTTCCGAATAGAGAGGCAGCCCCAGAGCAGCTGCAGAAGATAGCTGAACAAGCGGGGATTGTTGTGCCGGTTCTGGAGCCGGACCGACTTAAGCTTCCAGTGCAGCTTGTTCCAGATTCGGGGGGGGGGGTGCTTCAGAGCTTAGCGGAGCAAGCCCTGGCTTCCTTCCTGGGACGCTCCCAAAAATGGGCAGGCCGCTCCAGATCCGGCATGGCTGCCAGAACAATCGGATATTATGCGCACGCCTGCGGGGTGGGTTCGCGGCCCGCATCTGCAGCCGCCTTCCCGCGGCCGGGCCAGAAGGCCGTGCTTTGTGTGCCTGCTGAATAGCGGCAGGGTGCAGGGTTGCGGCTCGTGGGAGGTGGGGGGGGCGGGGTGATGTATAGGTCTTTCTTTGGCCTGCTTTTTACTCCACTGCTTTCCTACTTGTGCATCCTCACTGGCGATTCGGTTAAAGCGTCGGGCTTAGACTGCATCCCTGGGCTGGTTCTACTCTGAGCTTAGAGCTCAACTCTCTCCTGGGGTCTCTTCTGGGGTCTCTTCTGGGGTCCAGCCCTGACACCGGTGCAAGGCTGACCTTAGTGGTGTTGGTGCCCTTTTAACGCCGCTCTCCTCTCTGCTTCCTGTGTGCAGGTCAGCGACTTCCTGTCGGGCCGCTCGCCGCTGACCCTGGCCCTGCGCGTCGGCGATCACATGATGTTCGTGCAGCTGCAGCTGGCGGCTCAGCAGTCCGGCGGCCCGCAGCTGCAGCATCGGCACGTCATCGCCCGGGGGGGCCCCGAGGCTGCAGGGGCGTCCGCCGCAGTGCCCGGCAACAGCGGCGCACACGTGCGGCTCCCACAGCAGCCCTACCCCCACCCGCAGGCGCACCCCCCCACCCTCCCACATGCCCCCCACCTTCACCCGACCCCCGTCTCCTCGGTCAGCCCCTCTGCCTTCCCCGCTTCCAGCCCGGTGCAGGCCATGCCCCCTGCCTACCCTTCATCCTCTGCGGGCCAGTGCAGTCCCCCTCCCCGGCTCTCACCTCCCCCCAACGGACTCCTCCGCTCTCACCTCCCCCCGGCTGCGAGCTCCAGCCCCGTCACACCCTGCCCTGAGGTATGTCTCCCCGCTGCAGTTTGGGGGGGGGGGGGTGGTTAAACATGTTATGCCCAGTGACTGATTATCTGCTCAGCTGCTTCGGTGACTGGCGGCTCACCCGCATCTAGCTGCAGCTCCCTGAATGTGCCCCCCCCCCCCCACATAACTGTAAAAGCCGTTTCCCATGACCTGCGGTGACCATGCACAATCAAATAATGAGCAAATGTGCAAAGAAGTCACAGGAACCGCCGGCCGCCGTCCCTGTCTTTGAGAAAGGGCTGCCCTCCGCCAGTCCTCCGTCCGAATTTCCCTTCTTGCGGTTTTCTTTCGCTTTCTCTGCGCCGCTCGGCCCCCCCACCATCCTGCTTCGGTCCTTTTGTAACTGGAGCCTTGTGACAGTTACACCAGTGACCCGCCCCACCCCACAACTGCGACTTAACTATGTCGGTTTCTGTCCCACCAGACTAACTGCAGTGCCAAGGCCCCCAGCAATAGCAGCCCCCCCAGCACACGGTCCCGCAAGCCGGGTGCCATCATCGAGAGCTTTGTCAACCACGCGCCCGGCGTTTTCTCAGGAACATTCTCTGGTAAGCGGGGGGGGGCGTGGCTACTCCTGGTGCCCGCCTGGCCCGTATTTTTAACCGCAACTGGAACCTCTAGGTGGGGCCCGACCGGTAAAGCTGCCCCCCCCCTTCTCCCCCAGGCACCCTGCACCCAAACTGCCAGGACAGCAGCGGGCGGCCGCGGCGGGATATTGGCACCATCCTGCAGATCCTCAATGACCTCCTGAGCGCCACCCGCCACTACCAGGGCGTGCCAGCCTCGCTGACGCAGCTGCGCTGCCAGACCCAGTGCGGGCCGCCCTCGCCGCCGCCCTCGCCCCCCACACCCGGGCTCGCCGGCCTCTCCGCCAGAGCTACCTCAGTGCCTGCTGCCAGCCCTGCCGTCCTGCACCCCCTGGTTCAGTGCCAGAGCCAGATCCACATGTGCAAACCCTCTGGTGAGTTCCCGCTCCTCCGACTGTCAGGGGGCAAAGGGCACTGGGCTGGGGGGGGCCACCCTGTGGCCACTTCGGAGATGCCAGTCTGCATGTGATTGGAAATTTGCGCTGAATGGGAAGCTCATGGCCACAAAGTGGGGATTCCTGACTTGCCACTGAGTCGCCATGACAACCCTGGAATGTTTTATTCCACTTCGAATTCCCGAGTCACATGTCCGAGGCATTAAGGGTCACGGTGCGAGGGAGTCCGATGCCCGGCTTCCTGGGGAGGGGGGCGTCAGATGGCCTCCATCACTGTTTCCTGGGGCTATTTCAGGCCTGCGGTCAAAAGGAAGGTGTGGAGTGACTGAGCTGGACTTAAAAAGACATGGTGGGGGGGAGGAGGAGGCAGAGGGAGTGGGAGGGGAGCCGAGGCAGGCTGGGAGATTCCTGTGTGGGTGAGAAGCTGGGGCGGGGGGGGGGGGGGGGCTCTTGGGAATGCAGTGGCCGAGGCTCAACAAGGCGGTTTTGTCAGCTTGCGGACAGGCCCTGATCCCCCCCCACCACCACCACCAGCCCTGAGGGGTTGGGTTCCCGCCGGGGGGGATTCATTTCTGAGACGGCACAGGCCTAGAGGGGGAGGGGCACGGGGCATGGTGTGCGGCCCCGCTTCCTGAACGTGACACGCTGATCACCGTGTGGGGGAAGGTGAGCGATTTATATAAAAGCACAGTTTGTGCGTCATTCGTCAGGCTTGACAAAAACAGTCCTTAGTGATCCCCTTCGCACCGGTGGCTGTGATTAGCATTAGGAAAAATCGGTGATTTGTTGCGAGGCCGAATCCTTTCGCATTACGCTAAAGTGTGCGCTCTCGGAGCCCCCCCCCCCTCCCCCCCCCCACAGTGGGAAGGCTGAAGAGCTCCTTTTTTTGGTCACTGCTTGTGTTTGTGACAGGTCCACGCACTCCACATAATGCCTGCCTATTTTCCTAACCCAGCCCCCCCCCCGGTGTCCGAAAGGTCCCGCGGCCCCTCCCCCACGCCTCTTTCTCCAGTCAATGGGCCGTCCCACCGTTTCCGCTGCCGCGCTCCAAAACTCTAACCTCATCTGTAAAATGCGCCTGGTCTTTCCAAGTGTGGCCTTCAATGCCGCCTGTGTTTCCCCTCCGACTTTAAATAGACAGATTTATACGAAAATGGCAGCGCTGCGCGAATGCTCATTGTGTTATCAAGGCGAGAGCGACACAGAACTGAGTGTCCATTCATAAAACCGTACTTTATATCCGGCCAGCTCCTGCCCACAGATTAATTGGTTCTTCCTCTGAAAACAAGAAGTATTTGAGCTGGGGATGCCGTGTTTCAGCTTACATAACCATGTCTGGAGATGGGCTTCCACTCCGGACCACAGCTTCTCCCTGCTGATTATCTGTCAGCGGTAACTTTTTGTTTTGATGATAGTGTATTTTTAACAGGTGGGTATGAGGTCTCGCCCCAGAGTGCCCCACCTTTTGGGTGGTGAGACTTGATGAATTATTTCCTTGTAGATAACACCACTGAGGAGTGAAGCACCAGCTGCTGCATGCCGGTCGGCTCCTTGCACGGCCGGGTACGAGCGTCCGGCCACTTTCATCGCCCGTCTGTCAGAGCAGGCGAGATCCGATCTGGTCTTCCTACGCGTGACCTCATAATGGCGGTGGGTGGAGGGGTGGGCGATGTGACTGGGGAGTGAATTCCTGTGCTCAGCAAGGCTCCCACCTCCGCTCGGCATGGTCCAGGCCTTTGTTTAGCCAGCCTGCCTGGAAAGTCATGGAGGCTGCAGGGATCAGGAAACCCACCAGCTGTGCTTTGGGGCCCGGAGCGTCACAGCTGCCGTCTTCCACAGACGGGGGGGGGGTACACTCAGTGGGACCCCACCCATGGCTCTCCTCGGTGTGTCAAGTTGGTTTAGCTCGGCCTAAGGTTGAAGTGGGACAATGGAGGGTGGGCCAGTATGGTTAGGAGGTCTGGGGGGGGGGCTTCTCCTCTTTTCACCACTTGTTTGAATGCCCTTGGGTATTTTGGCCCACCCCCCGCTGGGAGCAGCCATGCTGGGTCGTCGAGGGCCCCCCTGCCATTCCATATATAAATGTGTGCCTA